TCATAGAAAATTATCTGTAACTCCAAATGAAATAAGTTATATATGAAAAATGATCAGAAAAATCCAATCTATCTATCCGAACTAGTTTCATGCATGTTAAAGCAACTTAAAGCTACTGTTTATACCAAAAGATGATAATGCACTTTATAAATTCATACTTTGAGTTTGAAGTTGAACCCTTGGTTCAAAATGACTCAAACCACCCTGGTTACAGTTGCATTAGGCCAACACATTCATTTTGCCATGTCATGACCATGCATCATATTATGCATTGCATTGATTGTGTATTCTCCTGTTTGCTGATATTTGTCCCCTCTCGATAGACGTGTTCCGACAATGAGTTCGATGACACCGATGAAGAACTATATCATCTTCAGAAGTGCCAGGCAAGCAAAACCCCCGTGTTCATTCCGATACAATCCCACTCTCTCTCTCTCTTGCTCTCTTTTACCGCATTAGGACAACAATGATTTAACTTTTACATGCTAGATCGGTGTGGCATAGGATTGGGGTCCTGACACCGCTCACAGGTGGTGTGGTGGATGAACTCGCAAATGTAGTATCCACACAAATCATTTTCGGGTTCCTGCCACAATCACTTTACAAGAAATAGAGGTCAATCAAACTGATAAGCAAGCATGCTAAATGATATTGATGAAACTAGCTAGAATCAATGGGAGATGCACGGAACTAGTTAGTAGCTAGTACTTACTTTCGGGTGGTCAAATCACAGTTGCGCCGGCAGTCCCGAAGCTTGTGCGGTGAACTTTTTCCAAACCCTGCCAGACAAAGAAAACAAGTATTTGATATCAGGAAATGAACAAAGTTGCCGACATGGTGCGATAATGATCGATTAAACTTACTTCTCAAGCATTTTAGTCATGGTCGCATACTCCTCCGGATTTTTTCGTTTGGAGTCTATGACGGTTACTAGTTCCTGCTCAAGCTTAATCTCTAGCAGAATAAAGTGGAACCTGCGCATGCATGCATAACTCATCAATTACATTACTATAACCTCGAGTAATAAGGGAAACCGAATATGCACAAGACAGTAACACTCACTTGTATTCGTAAGGAAAGAGTATTGTAGCTTTGTTTTGATTTCGAAGTAACGATGCGAGCAACTTGGCCTCGGTTTGTCTGGCATCATGTTTAACACTCCATTCATCCATGAGATTTGTGTTAATGAACCCAATATCACCTACTTGTCTTTTCTTCAATTCGGCGATCTTTAATCTGCATAATATAGTGATGATAATTATATATACATGCAATGAAAGAGCTGAGCTATATAGAGAGACTTAACTAATTATAGAGAAGTAGTACTTACAGACAGTAGCAAGTGATGATTATTTTATCGAGGGCCTTTTGATTGCAGAACTGGAAGAACTCCTCAAATGGAACTGACAACAAATCAATTCCAACGAGGTCGTGCTCCTCTTTAACCAATAGCGACAAAGTATTTTTCCCAGACTTCGTGCAGATGTCCATGTACCAATCATGGAATCTTTGCATCATCGTTGTTAGGGAAGTACCAGGTCTGACGAGAGGCTTCCTGTGCTCGAATCTTAATATGTCCACCTCCATTGTTCCAAAAATTATTGCATCGTCGTCGGCCATGTAATCTCCAGGGTTGGTACCGGGCAGCACCCCCGGAAGATTAGCAACGATATCGCTAGACACATTGAGCGGGGGGCACGATTGCTTTGTTTGTTCGCCGAGCTGGGGAATTTGTTTCCCTTTTCTTTGTTCTGCTTCTTGCTGTACTGCCTCCCGTTCTAGAGGCTTGACAGACGATGGATCGTATCTGTATTGCCTCCCGCCTCTGGTTGTACTGCTAGACACCAGAGCAGCTGGAGCGGTTGTGACTGTCTTCTTTTGTTCGTTAAGAGGCGGAGCAGCCGAAGGCGGACTGCTACGACGCGTTGGAGCAGCCGGAGCGGCGGCGTCGGTGTTCCGACGTCGCTTATGAGGCGGCGAAGGAGGAGGCGGGCTGCTCGGACGGGCTAGAGCAGGCGGAGAAGGACGCGGAGTAACGCCACCCTCATGCGCTGGAGCAGGAGGCGGAGTGCCCTAATCACTCGCCAGAGGAGGAGGAGGAGGCGGAGGAGGCAGAGTGCCCAGCTGACTAGCAGGAGCGATGAAGTTTAGAAGCTTGATGTGCTCCTTCCGCCATAGACACGGAGTATGCATAGCAAGACCTAGCTGAATCTCCCCATCACCTGTAGGGTGGTCAAGCTGGAGCTCCTCAAATGCCTCCGTTATTTCATCCAACATCACAACAGCATAGCCTTGTGGAATCGGACGGCAGTGAAAAGTTGCTCCGGGTGAAGGAGGGAACACAGAGCCGACAACCGCCTTGACTTTGAGCTGATCCCATTGCGTCATAAGGTGGCACTGGTGTGAATCCGTGATAAAGTCCATGGGGTAGCTAGGACCCGTCAAGTCAGGATGCTGAACGAGCTCGGTGGAAGCCACGCTGCTTCTCCGCTGAGATGGCGGGGTAGCTTCTCGGGTAGCATCTTGGGTAGGACCTCGCAGCTGCTGGTTCTCAGCATCTCGTTCCTCTAGCTTTCTTACCCTTGCCTTAAGCTCCTGCAGTTCGCTCTGCTCCACTTTCCTCCTCCTCTCTTGGGTTTTGTAACCGCCCGCGTCGGGAAACCAAACCCTTCCACGGAACGGAGCCTAGCGTGCCTCGTGTTCGTCCAGGGTGCTCAGGATTCCCGAGGGCCCTTGTGAGCTCGTCGTTCTCTTTATCAGGAACAAACTTCCCTTCCCGCACTTCGTTGATTGCTTTCCGAAGCTTCATAATGGGTGTTGCACGCTGCTCATCCATCCAGCAGCACTTCCCTGTTTCAGAGTCCAATGTTCCACCAGCCCCGTAGAACCAAGTCCTACAACGGTCTGGCCAGTGCGATGTCTCTGGTTCGACCCCTTTAGCAATCAGATCCTGCTCAGCCTTGTCCCACAACAGCCGGGCTTTGAGGTAGCCACCTGACCCCATGCGGTGGTAATGCTCCTTCTTTGCAACATTTATCTTGTTAGTCGCTGACATCTTCTTACTCCTCTCCGATGTCTTGTTGGCCACAAATGCGGGCCAGTGATCTCTTATCTTCTTAAATCGGCCGGTGAATTCCGGAGTCTTGTCTTGGTTGACATACCACTACTGGAATCTGGCACTTTGCCATCTGCCATGGCAGATGGCAAAGGCATGGTCGGCGGATGGCAAAGGCTTTGCCATCTGCCAGCAGATGGCAAACAGTTCGTCTGAAACCCTGCCGGTAAAGGCTTCTTTGCCATCTGCTGGCTGATGGCAAAGAGCCTGTGGCTTTTCCATCTGCTGGCAGATGGCAAAGCCTCTTAACGGGGTTAGCCCCGTTAGAAGGCTAACGGCATACTTTGCCGTCTGCCAGCAGATGGCAAAGGCTGCATGCTTTGCCGTCTGCCAGCAGAACAGATGGCAAAGGGCCCAAATAGGCCAGCCCAAATTTTACATGTAGATGACACGTGACCTCTTTGCCATCTGCCAGCAGATGGCAAAGTGCATATATTACCCCATTTAATATATATTTTCTTATATCAATTCATTTCCACAGAAAATCAAACACAAATATATTTATATGACCAATATAGCATATTCAACACATATTACCAATAGTCATGAACACATATATATCGAACACATATACAACACATGTTACCAATAGTTTACCAATAGTAACAAGTTTCATCCATACATATACATAGTTTCATCAATATTACACAGTTTCATCATAGGTAGCAAGTTTCACAAAGTCAAAACAAAAACTAAAGACAAGCACTCCATCAACCCAAGCTTCCGTGATCTGAAGCAAATCTACAAAATGGGACATATAAAGAATTAGAAATATTCCCTTAAAAAATAGAAAGAATTAGAAATAGCCCGTCAAAAAGAGTCATGATCACGTACACACATAAGCAGTTGTCCAGACCTCATGCTAAGAAAAAGTAAAAGAGGGCAGGTCGGACACGTACATAAGTCCTGGCCATGTACGCACATCCATGTATATACTAGATGGATACCCCGCGCGTTGCTGCGGGACATGTTGCGTGAGCTTCTAAATATTAAACGGATTGGTTTCAGTAACCATAAGAAAGTTGTTTTTCTTTACTAATGTAACACTGTCTATTTTGGGATGTTCACAACAAATTGGCATTGCAGTTAAGTACACGCACTAAAAAAGACGGGATTTGCAGTATATGTACTTTGAAGATTAGTCATATTGCCATATAGCACTGAAGATGGTTCTCATATACATGAATACTAAAGATGATTTGATAAACATGAGTATTTGTTAGAGGCAGATATTGGAGAGGTGATTTAATTTTGCAAGATGAAGATTGATGCAAGACAGGATTGAAGTTTTCATTAAATAAATAGTGCAAAATTGCATACACGGTGAGAAAATGAAATTAGTTTTCAGCAATGGACTAGCTCTTTAATATTGCTTAAAAAATATTATTGCTGGCAGGTGCACAAACAGAAACAAATGAAGCTACTAATTCTAGCGTGCGAGTTTGGAATAAAATAAATACAACTATTAGATAACCAAATTCCCTTGATCTCATTAGTGACCACAGATGGTATTTTTAGACTACCGCTAAAATAGTTCACAAAATGAGCGATAACAACCCAAAGTCTTTCCTTTATGATGAATCAGATTTTTAATCAAATCAACACCTTAGGAAAGATAAATAAAAATAAATACAACTCCTATTAGATAACCAAATTCTACTTATCCCATTAGTGATAACAAATGATATTTTTATACTACTGCTAAAAATAGTTCACAAGTATGAGCGACAACAACTTGTAGAGATTTATTTGTTTCTTTCCTTTATGATTTTTCAGACAAAAAAATAAATCTAATCAACACCTTAGGAAAGATAAATAAGAAATTTCCAAGGAGATCAGCAAAATGCATAGCTATGTTCATACCTTGCTGTATGAAAGCAAGCAATTATGCTAGTTCATATATTGATCTCCACTTTGGCCGAATGCTTGAGAAAGTTGAAAGTGTACAATTTGACTGAGATGCAGAGAGACGACTACTACTAAGATTGGAGGCAACAGAACTAACAATACCTGTTGGTGGTGGCACCAGAAAGATACCGTTGCTTTTCGGTGATATGGAGTGGAAAAACACATGCGTAGATGGCTTTTGACAGAACCTTTGCATGCATGTGCCCGTGGTAAGAAGCAGGTGCAGCAGGAAGTTGTCACTGACGACTTCTACTATTATATCTATAATTCTGTATAAACAACTGGGAGTTGAAAATGAAAGAAAACAAAATGTCAAGGAAATACTGTTAGGCTGTGTATGAACTATCACTGTATGGACCATGGAGTAATTAAGTCTTGCTTCAAGAAAACATAATCAGAATGGACAAAAGAGTAAAACCTTATAGATTCTATCTTTGTAATATGAGGATGTGCCGTTCCCTGTAGTTTTGTCATACCAAACATTAGCTTGTTGAAAGATGCAACGTGCCAATAAAATTAAAATGAATCACCACCAACAAATTCTTAATTTAAAATTTTGGTAGCGCCTTGTAGCAGCAGCAGCACCGCGTCATTAAGCCAGAGAGACACGTACGGCCCGCACAAATTCATCCAGCCGATCCCACACCTCCAGAGCAGCCGGTCTGTCTTGATGCCTTTTATTCTTGCTTATCTGCACCATAGGTTAATAACACAATTAATAAAGCAGCTGTAAGTGGGAGCAAAATAGAATTTGATTCCAATAACCAAGAAAACATATGAAAAATTCCTCCCACTCACAGATATGATTTTGACATTCCACTATTTGACCACTTTTGCTGAATCGACACTATCATCTTCAAAGCATACAAAGAACCCAATAACTGAGAGAGAAAAGTTTAAAATGTTAGGCCACAGATGGTATCGACTTGCTGTGCTGAAAAGAGAAACAGAGCAATCTAATGTTCCATGTTGCATTACAAATACCATAAATTTTTGACCAAGTTTAGTGGGAGGCTTTGCTAGGAACAGAGACAAAAGGTGCGGACAAACGGGTATGTTTTGGTTAGTCATAGCAGCAGTGATTTCCTGCTCGACAGCCAATGTCAATGCCAAAAACAAGCATCATTTTAACCCAATCTATCTATTATATACTTAAAACAATAGAAAACTAACGGTTAAGATTCATCTATACAAAGTTAAGATGCATAAAATAAATTTGCCATGGTGAATTTGTAAAATTTGCCATGATCGATGAACTAAATTTGTCATGCTTTATAAAAATAAATTTGCCATGTATGTTAAATAGTTTTCTAATATATTTCCCATGTGACCATAACTGAATTTGCCATGTGACCAGTAATGGATTTGCCTATGAACAAAAAGACTAGGAAAATGAAAAATGACAGAATATGCCATGTGACAAAAAATAATGGAATTGCTGTGACAGAAATGCCGTGTTACGAAAGTCACCGAATTTCTTAGGGCATAACATTACTCAGCTAGCTATATAAAAATTCAAAAATAAAATGCATCTGCTTGAAGAAATAATGCGATTGACACGTTAAAACTATGATAGAAATGTAAAACTTGATGGCAAAACTACAGCATGGAAAAAGAACTCCTATGTAGTGATGGCAGAATGTATGAATTTGCCGCGGCAAAATTTGGTTCTCCCTAAGAAAACATAATGGAAAAATTGTGGTGGAACGAATCTAAATTTGCCGTTCACTGCATATTGAAAATTGCCCTAGAATATCCCTACCAGTTCTGAACCAAATCAAAAACAACATATCACAAAAATACCATGGTACAGAATGGGGGTGAAAATTGCCATGACATATCTACTAGTGCACTGGGTCATGGCATGTCATCTGTACTAGTCTACTGGGTCATGGGATGCAATTGGGGGTGAGAAATCTAAACACAAAATTCGGATCTGCCTCTACTGGGTCATGGAACATCAATTTGCAGATAATCAAACTAACAAAAATGAAAAAAAGACGGGGGGTTGAGGATGTTGCCACCTGCAGTGGAAGGATCCAAATGCCTTTTGCAGTTCGCCACCGTGGTGGTCAAGCTCGACCTGCGGCTGCGGCGTCACCTGGCGAACAACGACGAGTATGGACTCCCTGCAGCCTTGCAGCAAAAACATGATGCGGAGGACCGCCACGCCCGTCATCGAGTAGTGCGCC